GGGGAAGCGGGCTCCGGCGGCCGCTTTCCTGGCTCGGGAGCGGCAGCGCTGCGTGGGCCGGGCCGGGCCCTCTGCGTGGTGGGGCCGCGGAGCCCCTCTTGCCCTGCGTCCTTCCGTCCGTCCTGTCAGGCCCGTGTCTTGGGGGGCTGGGCCGGGGGCCTCGCGGTTTTCGTCAGGTCCCTCCCCTCGGCGGGCTCGCCCCGCTTGTTTGCTGGCTAGGCGAAGCCCTGGCAGAGCCGGTTGTCGGCTGGCGAGGTACTTGGGAGAGACTGAAAGCTCAGATTGGGGTCCGATTTCTTTTGAATGCTCGCCCACCCAAGACTATGTTCTGGGGAAGCTGAGAAGCCCCCCAAGTTATCTCAGTTGTTGAGTATCTCAGTTCGGCAGGTGAAGAAGTGGACTTGTTTAAGTAACTGAAATGAATTACAAGGGGAGTACCTGCCCTGGGGAGAGAAATTATATCGCTATTCATGGTAGCGGTCGGAAAAACTGCGTAAGTACTTCTGAAGCGATTGGTGATGCAGTTGTCTTCAGGACAAGGACAGGTGTTACACACGGTCCCTGGGATTAGTAGTGTAACTAGAAGAGTCTGGGAGGGGAGAGGAAGGCTTGCATGCCAGGAGAGTGCCTTTTCATCCTCTCCCCTGTTATTTTTATCAAGGAGTACTTAAACGGTTGAGTAATCAAAGTCTAGAGCCTTCAGTACAGGATCTGTCATAAAATGTTTGGGGATATCTAGCCAGAAGTGAGTAATGTGTAATTCTTAATAGATATAAGGAGACTGGTTTTTGTCATCCCCCCCAGTACCCCAGGGTTGGAAACAGTTCCCTGTGCTGGCAGTTGTGAATTGACTAGAGGGAGCATGGAATGCAAACTTAGAAAAAGTAGTTTTGGTCTTTGCTATGGATACTGAAACATGACTTTTTCCCGGAGACAGAAAAGCTAGAACTCTGTTTAAGCAGCAGAGTATGAAAACTGATTAATTCTGTTTTGAATCTTGGGATTATTAGCTAGTTAATTTATCTTAAAACAGAATTCTTGAATAATTTACTTCTTGCGTGGTAGGAAATTGCAAGCAGTGACTTCCCTGTGTAATCTTATGGGCTGGTGAACACAGCTTATTGGAGCTCTCTGATTACACTTATCCGAAACAGATGATAACAGAGTTGAGGATCTTCTGTGCTCCTACAGTGTCTGAAAAGCCATATTTATTTTTTTTCCAAATACTTGGCAAGACATGTGAAGTAGGTGCCTCCTTGCATAGTATGTATACTTTCTTATAGTAGGAAATCTATTTATCTTTTTCCTCCATACTTTGGCTATAAAATTAAAACCAAAACCTAAAATCTTTTAGATAGTAACCAGTAAATGATTTATTAAGATACAAAGATCTTGTATGCAAAGGTGGAGGGAGAATGCAAAAGAGATTGAAGGAGAAGGAGAGAGAAAGGTGAAATTCCCAAACTACCTTTAAAAATGAAATATGTGCTGGAAGTAGATGACCCTGGGTGTAGCCAGTTTCCCTGCTCTACAAGTAAACCGCAGAGCATCTATCCCTTGCCAGTGTTGCCTAATCTGGCTGTTTCTCAACTGTCTGACAGCTACCTCAAATGAGATTTGAATAAGATTTGCATTTCTATGGGGTTTTAACTAGTGATCTGCATTTTCATGGGACAGCCACGGGCATCAAGCTGTTTCAGAAAAGGACTGTTATGAAGAAATTTGCTGTAACTGCAGTTTATACTCATCCAAGCTAGACAACTGTTGCTTTTTTTAGAAAAATAGAAGAATAAACTCAAGAAAGAATTAAAAGGACTTCCGAAGGTGAGTTAAAAATATCATTCAGAGTTAATTTTGTAAGCTAGGAGCAATCAAATTACTGTATCTGAAATCTTAATGTGTTACTGTTTTATCAGAAAATAAACAGTTTTTAAAATTCTCTTTCTGAAATGAATACGGATTAATTAATCTCCTTTGTCTACACAAATTCACACCACAAGCTCTTGCTTTCTTATGGTTGTAACATTACAAATCTTATCCCTCAAGCATTGCACTATTAAATTCTATACAGTGTTTAGTGTAGGTGTCCTTGTGCTAGTATATATTGTTGACACTACTTAGATGTTATAGGTATGCCAAATTACTGACTTTCAAAAAAAATTTTTTTGGTAAATGTGCGAAGCTAGTGTTTCAAACAGCAGTAGATGAATATGAATAATTGAAGTTTCAGAGCCTGGCCAGATAAAGTCTGCATAAGTTAAACAACAACAACAAAGGCTTGAAAATTTGAAAAATAGAATACGACAATTTCTGTCTTTTCACGGTGAAAGGAAGTAGCATGATTTTTGGCATGATGTCCTCTTGTATGACAAAATGATAAATTTTTGTTTAAACAGGAAGTTGTGAAACTCCAGTAGAAATACCTTTATTGCATTAAAAGTTAGCAAACAAAATGTTAAAGTTAATACTTTAACACATACATTTCAGTATGGTGATGACTCATTAATACTGTGAAATTTGGTGCAGATTAAGACAAGCATCTTTTTAACATTTGCAAGGATAATATATGTGCCGGTAAGAAATGGTAGTGATTAAATTGCGTAGGTAAAAACAAAAAACAGTGAGTAAGATCTTCAGTGAAGAATGAACTTGATTGTGAGGACTAAGTGATTAAAAAAATTATGAACCTTGGCTTTGAAAAATCAACTGCAAAAATTTTTTTGTAATCGTATATTGTTGTTACTGTATAATTTCTGAGAGAAAATTCTTAGCTTATGTTGTGCGGAGCCTGAGTCACTTGGCAATTTCTGTCTTAATAGGATTTATCTTCAGTGTGCAGGTTTACTAGGTGTTAGGTTTGGGAGTTGGCCGTCATGCAAAACCATGTTGTTAATCTTACTCCTTTTAGGTTTATGTGGTTATTATTTGGGTTTTTTTCCCTATTTTGCTTTTTTGGGTTTATTTTGATCTCCTCCTGCAAAAGCAACCTTTATTCATGTCTTATGTTATGATACAGAGATAGAAGTGGATGAGTTTTCTGAAACACATGGCAAAGAGAAGGTATGGCAAACAGATATGTTAGCTGAAGTGATCTAACTTTGAAGTTGAAAACAGTGATGAAAGACACAAGTATTATGCGTGCTTTAAAAAAGTGGGGGGAGGGGCAGAGATAAAGGAGATGGCCCATTTTTTTTAAAAAAAAAAAGTAATTTTAATATGAAATCTATTCTTAATTCATTTCTTCCACCTCCTCTATATGTTTGTATGTCCCACATAATGTTATTAGGAGTAAAGTATTCTGCTAATACAGCTGCCTATATGAATCTTATTAAGTGTTACTTATGTACACAATTAAAGCTCTAGTTAGTCCAGGTTTATTCTATTCTTGTTTTGTGTATTATGGTGGAAGATTAATTGAGAACTGACCAATTTGTAGTCTATCCAACTATGTTTGAGAGTTTGGGATAACTCTATGCTCTGTGCTACTTATGATAACACTAAAAACCATATGCCTTATCACTTGCCTAATGGTGTTTTTAGGAGGTTGTTTCCTAGCTTATTGCCTTCTCTTTCATTATATATGGTAAGATGGCTAGATATTAGATAAACTCTGTGTTTCTAATGAACAAGTTCTGTATGCGGTGAAACTGGGCAAGGTATACCAGAATTGTATTTCTGTCATGTTCCTTGTAGTTTTCTGTTTTGTTTTTGATGCTTTTGAATTGTGTAACACAGCAGCCTCTCGAAAAAAGACTGGAAGTTTGAACAAATAAATCGTTGTGAAGCTAAGGGGCCCCACTTGAATTGTTCTAGCTTAGAGCTACTTTGGTTTTGATACGGACTTATTCTGCAGAGTATTTTGTATGTGCATCACCTTTGTTTTTGCTGTATGTAAGATATCTCATCATCTTATTATTCTAAATAGCTTTAACTAGGAGCTTCTTCAATTACCTCTAAAAGTCATCACTAGTACTGTTCAATGGAAAGTAGTGAAGGTTTTGGTTTCCCATGGGCTTAACTTCTCAGCCTAGGACTACGTTTTGTCCCTTCAATTGCATTTGAAGTTGATTAAAAACAAGCCTTCTGCCTAGTGCCTAGTCCAGTGTGTGTATGTGTATCCTTTTTTTTTTTTCCCCCCCTCCCTCCCCTCCTTCTCCACTGGGCTGTCCTTAAAGGAGATCAGGCAGAAAGTTTGAATTGTCGTATCACTGATGATACAAAATGGGTTGGAATAGAGATTAGCTTGTTATTTGTAGCTGGGGTGGGAGTAATGGCATGAAATGTTCAAAATGCATTTTTCCGAAGTTTGTTATGAGCTTATGATGGCTTATGATTTTCTGTAAGCAGTTTGACTTTGGCATTGTAGGATGTAGCTGCATTTGTACCTAGCAGCTATTCCTTGAGCAATCATCCAAGAGTTGTATTTCTTCCAGGAACATCCTGCTGAGCTGTTTCGCTGCGTACTGTCACTTAAGATACAATGAGGAGTAAGACATTAACTAAGTTTAGAGAGAAATAGCTAGTGTTTCTCTATTCATAAGACTAGTTGTTTGTAAGCTATTTATTTTTCATCTCATACTGATACAAAAATATACTGTTGTGTCCTGATTAACAAATAAAATCCAAATTTTCTTTCAGATTAACTGCTGTAATTTATTGCAGTACGTTTTTGTTAACCAACTTGTGTGTGCAGTCTGGAGGCAATAAAAGCAAGAGAAATGGAGACGGAGACCATTTTAAGTCTTCGACAACAACTCAAGGAAGCAGAGAATGAACGGAGAAAGGCAGCACAGTATGGCTTGCATTTATTGGAATCTCAAAGTGAAGTTCAAAATCAGTTGGATCAAACACGTCGTGAACTGACGGACAAAACTGAGGTGCTTTTTTTATACTCTTGGAATAAGAAGAGAGTCAATTATATTTTGATTTTAATTTAACTATTTTCTGAAAAACCTAAATGTTTTATTCATTTTAATAAACCTATTTCGTTTAGCTATTTGTAGGGAGGACTTCTTATCTATCCTCTAAGACACTGGGCACAATTCTTAGACCCAAGTTTACAGCTAACTTTACACCAAGTTGAAGGACTGGAATATGGGTGTTGTGCTCAGTGCTAGGTAGAGTTAATTGCATCTAATATGAAATGGATATTAATTGCTAAAGTAAATTTGTTTTAGAGCATGCATCTTGTGCATGTTTAACAGTTGTTTTTTCTTACCTTCTCCCTACAAACTTTGTATCACTTAAAGCTGGAACAATAACACTACAACCAAGGTTGTAAAATTGATTTCTTCAGTAGTAAACTTGGTTTCACGTTTTCTAAATACCAAGGAATTCTGGATTTATTAGTACGTTTCTTTACAGCTCAGAAGACTATTACAAGGTAGAGATTTTACTTAATCTTTTAATATTCTTAGTAATTGTGTAAGACATTTTCAGTCTTGGGAATCTCTTCCAATTTTCATAAACGCTTAATACTGGTTTTCAGTCTGCCTGTGCTTCGGATCTACTATTTCTTTTAGTATGGAGTGCTTCTGGCTGTGGATTGTGATCCCTTCCTGTGTGATAGAACTAATGTTTGTTTGTTTTTTGTGTGATCACCTGGAAGAGAGTTATATCACCTTGCTGTTCTGAATGAACACTAATAACGGATGTTTATCAGTTAGTGGGCAGAGGTGGCTGTGAAGCACAAATGATAAGGAAGGCAGGGCAGGATCATCTTTTTCACCAGATACCTTGAGATGGTAGTTGCTGTGTTGTGAAACTGCACCCTTGGTTACATTCCAACATTATAGACTGGAATGAAGTTAATGAACTAAATTTGCGTGAACCTTGTCAGTGAATAACTTGGATTTGGGGGAGCTGGTGGGGAGGAATTGCTTCTTTTCATACACTAAAACTACATGTTGTGTGAGAATAATGATTACCCAACAGATTCTTTTGAATCTGGTATCTGTAATTCTTCTCTTTGGAATCTGAGAGCCAAAACAATTATCATGGAAACAAATGTCAGTTTTAAAAGTAAACACAAGAGTCTTTTTAAAAAAAAACAAAAAAAAAAAACCCAAAAAAACTCTAGCTAAACATTTCATGCTAGATTTCTCCTTTTTGGGGCCTGGCCAGCATTGCACATTGCACTCCCAAACCTTTTCTGTGTACTCTCTCAATCTTTGAGAGGAAATTCTTATCCTGTATTTTTAAATGTTAAGCCTGGCTTAGCACCTAGGCTGCAGAGGTGAATTTCATAGCTGATAGCTTTTAGTTTTGACATGCTTCCTTTTCTTTCTGGTTTGTGTTTTAAGAGTCCAAAAAAAAAAAAAACTGGCCAGATTTGGTTTCAGTATTTACATTTATCTCTGCTTTGAAGAGGGGTTTTGGGGGGGTGGGGGTGCAGGCAGGGGTGGTGTTGTGTCCTGTCCATCCCCCCGTTCCCTGTCAAACTGCCAGGGGAGTGGTAGAGTAAAAAGAAGTTGCTCTTCATAGCTAACAAATATATCTGATCAGATATAGAGAGAAGTTGGTTTTAAAAAGTTGTTTTCAATCTGGATAACTTAATGAGGTTTATCACAAAACGGTAGACATTATAGAGTCTTTACCAGACAGAGAATCCAGCTGCTCAACAGTAGGAGGCTTGATACACTAACAATTTTTGAGACCATTCTGTTGCATCCGTGGTAGAAACATGACACCTAAGCTCTAGTTGAAATTTTTTGTTCTAATTGCAAAAAAGATGCCCCCACGCTTTGAGTGAGAAGTACACAGTTTGCATGAAAGAGACTGTTATGCAACCAAAAAAACCATAAAAATTTAAAGCAGATTGTTATATTTTGAAACATGGGTACAAAATTCCAATTCCTAAGTGGGACTCGAGCACTTTAGCAGTGGAGTTGCAGGCCTTAAGCAATTATTGTCTCGGTTCTAAGCCTATAGCGAGTAAATTGTTCCTCAAGCGTTTATGAATATTATGTTTAGACTTTGTTACTTTTCCAGAAATTTGAACAAGAGAAATACTCTCTGCAGAGAGAAATTGAACTCAAGAACAGAATGTTGGAAAGCTTGAGTTTTGAATGTGATGCTCTTAAGCAACAGCAAAACATGCAACTGGATAAACAGAAAGAACAGCTTGCCAGAGTTCATGGACAAGAAATCAGTGACCTTAAAAACAAGGTTTGGAACTTAATATACTGCTAAAATGTTGCTGATAGCATTCTAAATAATAGGTATTGAACTCATAATTACACACTTATTACCCAAACAAATCTAATCAATAGTTCTGTTGTGTAGCCATACGTTATTTTGCCATATAAGTTGAGTAGTTTGATTCAGAACGGAGCTCATAATGTTTTTTAAACTACTATTACGAAAGAAAAATAAAGTTTTCATGATAGCTTTTGTTAAACCTGGAACTACAGGGAGAAGGTCAAGAATGTATAATGCAAGTATTGTTGGGGATTGACAAGGTTAGTGTGTTAGTTCTGCGTCTTGCTCACAATAGACGTATACTTTGGTGACAATATCTTTTTGAACAGGCTTAAATTCTTGGCCTTAGGATAAGAGCTTGTTTGGTTGTTTTTTTAACAAGCATCTGCATAGTTGCATTGTGAATTAGAATGATTTTTTTCAAGCTTATTCTTAAAAGCTTACTGTTAAGTTGTATTTCTAAGACACTTCTGTGATCAGACCATGAATCAAACGTATTATGCTTTTGAAGAACTTACTATAAAATGGTATCACTGGGTTGTCAATTGTCTTTAAGTTGGAGAACCTGAAAGCAGAACTAGATGAAACTCGACTGACAGAGAAACAACTGAGACATAAAGTGGATCATCAGAAGGAAATAATTGCTGCCAAATCAGAGGAGTTGCATATGATGTCTGAACGTGTACATGAGACCATGTCTTCAGAAATGCTCAATCTTCAGATGGAACTCACTGAACTAGAAAGTGTGAAGGTGTGTGAGTAGTACTTAGTTATTAGGAATGTAGGCTGCTGGAAGATAAAACTAAGCCTTTTGCACGTTTGATTTTTTTGGGTGCTGTGTATATATTGCTACCTTAAAATTGGCTTAACAGTAAGACAATAGCCACAGGACAAACAACAATAGCTGTAATAACCAAACCTTAATATAACCTCTTTTCCAAAATAGTGTTTTGTATTGAAACTAACAGAATTGTTTGGCTTATTTGGACCTGCTTTTCTTAAAATTGTATTTTGTAAGCTTATTATTTTGTACTTGATTTTTGTGATTAGGCCAGTGTTGAAGAGAAGCTGAATGAATTGCAGTACAATAAAGAACAATTGGAACTTGTAAATAGCAACTTACGTAATCAGCTGGAGCGTCTACAGGGAGAAAAAGAAGAGAGGGAAAAAGAAGTCGTTTCTTACTGTAATGCATTAGAGGTATTCTGTTTATCTTATACAACAGTACTGGATAATCTCTGAATTCCGTGAGTGGTTAGTGCTAGCTTCTCCTTGAAATAAGGAAAGGAATTTTGGGGAGGGAGGGAGGGAGAAAGAGAAGGTAGAAGTGGTGTGGAGGTTATTTTGGTTTATCTCATTTTGTTAGATTGGTATTACCTGTTGCTAAATACCTTCTCTATTGGTATTATCTTGTGGCAGGCTACCCATGGAGATGTTTTTCATAGCATTATTGGACCTCTTAATAGAAACTTTTCACAGGTCACTGATAGAATTCTCATTTTCTTTCAAGTTCCTACTGAATGCCTTTTCAAAGTTTGTGCCAGGGAGTGCTGAATCTGTGACTGACTAACACAGCAAGGATAATTGCCTCAGTACTACTAATTCAACTGATAAATATCCAAGTTTTCCTTTGAAGGACTTAGTTCTGCTTTTTCCTTGAACAGCAAGCAAAGTATTAAACCCTGTAGAAACTTACCTTTTTCTGCCTAGAAATATATGCACAATTAAATACTTTAGTACAAGATAAAATCTGTGATAAAGGTAATAGTTTTACCTCTTTTTTCATTTCCTATCTGACTTAATTTTTATATGCAGTACATCTGATTCTTGATTGACTAATATCTCTCTGGCTTGAATCTAGAAAGCTCGTGAGGCTAATCAAGAGCTGCAGGTTCAGCTGGATCACGCACTGCAGCAATCTTTGGACCCTACAAGTAAAGGCAACTCTCTCTTTGCTGAGGTACGATTATGCCACATACACCTGAGAATGTACAGGGGAGAGAAGAAGAAATACTTAATCGTAAATTGTATTTATTATGTTGCATTGAAAATATTAGAATATTTGTGTCTGATCTGTCAGGCTTGAGTCTCCATTCCTCAAGTATTACTTTGATGTTGAACTGTATCTGGGAACTGACCCATCAAACACTTTTAAACCCACTCCGAAGCTGGGGAGATGGTAACCTTAGTGGAATTACTTATTTACTGGGTTTCAGGATGGAAGACAAAGGGGCTATGAGGGTTCATGACAGTTCTGTCTATAGGTCTTAGCTCTAAAAAATTTTGTTCACCTGGTGATCCTTCTTTATATGCCTAAGTTAACACATGAAATATTAAAAGATGATCATAACTGCTGGTTTAAAGAACTTGCTGAAAATGACTGGCTATCTGAGCCTTTGAGAGGGCTTTTGAACTCTTACTAGATTAAGAGTTAAGCTGGTATGAAGTGGGTAGAAAGTTGTCTTATTTTCTGACTACACCCAGGGAATCGGTTGAATTGGTATGTAGTTCATACTAATTTTTTTCCAAATAATTTGTTCTGATGCCCGTGGACAAAACTGTGCTACAGTACTACTGCAGCAGATTAAATGTTACTTTATTATCGTAGCCAAAGAACAACAAGGAAAAACTCTTTTGTACTTTATTGATTTGGCTTCCGCTGCTATAGCAATGTCTGCTTACTTTGGTCTTGGAAATAATGACAATAGCAAATATTTTCAAGTACTCCTGTTCGAAAAATGGTACTTTCAAAACCAACGCTGATTGTTGGATAGCGTTCTTGTGGTAAAACTCAGCATCCAAGTGACAAGTGTTATCATTTTTGTAGTAATAATTGTTAACAATGTTCTGTAGGTGGAGGACCGTAGGGCAGAAATGGAACGACAGCTGATCAGTGTGAAAATAAAATATCAGTCACTACAAAAACAGCATGCATTCACTAGAGAACAATTACAAAGAATGAAGGTATGATCATTATTGTAATACTCTAGGATTTCCTTGGGATCTGATAAGGCGACAACGCTTTGGAACGCAAGCTAGAGAATTTGATTCTCTTTAAACCAGGCATGAAATATGATGCAGCAGTCTGTATCGGGGGGAATGTGAGAAAAGACAAGGGAGATGGCATGACGCAATTTGAATTTAATAGTACATAAGCATTTTTCTACTGTTACTAGCACTACTGGTTTATCCTGGAACTCTGAGTTATGCTGAAAGTGTTGTCTGCTAACATTGTTGGTAGCAGTTGTTAAATGGGGAAAAAAGTAAAACAGTTCCTGTCAGTCAAACTGTAGCATTCAATTTGTCTTAACAGTTGCTTTTTCTCTCCCTCTCTAATCTTGGTAATAGATAAATTATTTATCTGCGTATTAATTGAGGTTATCAGTAGTGAATGTCTTTTGAGGGGAAAAGAGAAAGTTCTCATTCTTTCCTCTGATCATGCTGTTTTGTTCTGCGCCCCTCGGCCCCCCCGCTGGATTACTTGCCTCTTCTGTCTGTCCCTCTTGGTCTTGCTTCTCCAGATACTTAGTGCAAGAGTAAAAGCCAATTTTTGTCTTAAACTATTCCATTGAGACAATACTTTAGGATAGCAGCTCATTGGTTAATGAGAGCTGTTGACTAGTAAAACCTAACATCAACTGTTGAGAAATCTAGATAGCAAAGCTGTTTTACAAGGTATTGTGAAGGGGATGCCGCAAAACATTTACCTGTTTTCATGTTGGTCTTATAATTTCCCAATACAAGGGTGGATCCTGTAGCTTTAAGCAAATATTTGGGCATGAAGCTTGTCTGAGAACAGCGCTTAGCCCTCGTAGTGACAATAATGAGTAGCATTGACGACAGACCTAAGCTTCCATCTTAAATCCCTGTTAGGATTCTCTCTGTTTTGCTTTGTATTGTGAGTCGATGTGTATATTCAATGTACAGTTAATTAGTCTCTGCTCATTCAGCAGATGAGTCGAATAGTGTAGTTAATTACGTTGTTAAAGCATTCCATTGCCAAAAATGTATGAATGCAGTATTTACTGATAGTTTCTGCACAGAAAGTCAAGAGCACTCCTGTAAAAGTCTTATGGTTGCTGGAGTATTTTCTCCAGCTCGTTTTATCTCTTCTAGTTTCTTAATTTTTTGGGTTTTTTTGTTTTTATCTCTGTGGAGATGAACTGCAATTTGCATTTCTGATAGTTAGCAAGTGGGCTCTTCTGTTTAGTGAAAGCTATGGGCAAAGGTTAGGTGTCTTCCTGCTTGGAAAATGAGAGGTTAGTGTTAGTCAGCTGGTGAGAATTAAACCTTCACCTGCCCCCTACATCCTGCAGAGGTTAGTAAAGGAAATGATGCATCAGAATTATGAACGTTCTTTATCTGATAAAAGAGATTTTTATAGGGTAAATGCTCTTCTCTAGCTTTCTCTGTTAATCTGTAATCTAAACTGTATTTCAGTTAATCCTTTCCCTGGGACGACTTTTAAGTGTTTTACAGTGTTACCTTATCAATATTGACTAGACTGGTAAAAATGCTACAGTATCACTAACAGCCTGTTAAATGCTACAGTATCACTAACAGCCTGTTAAATGTTGCTATTAGTATATTTTGTATTGTTTCTCCAATTTTTTGAATATCTAATGTATCACTTGTAACTCGAATGTGTTAAGAGGTGTATGTTATAATATTGTTATGTTAACAATACCAGAAAAATCTGCTTGAAATGCAAGGTTCTACTTCGGTAAATTTTTCCTTTTGTAATGGCAGAGGATTTTTTTTGCTTGAAATAATGCCTTTGTTGAAGGCATAGAACTAGCTGAAATTCTTTGATTACTACAGAAAGCAAATTTTTAAAAGGGCTGTAAATAAGTTATCTCGGAACGAGATCCTCAAAAAATGGTTGGTAAACTAGGGTATTCTTTGTTTTTGTTTTCATAAATACTAAGAAATTCTTGATGGTATATGCATATTAGCCCTGATAAACAAGTCTGGACTGTAGTTTGATTCTGATTATCTTGGTGTTTAAGGCTTGAATGTGAAGTGTTTGGTGTGTCTTTGACAGCATGTTAAGGTTACTTAATCACTAAAGAGAAAGATATGCCACCTTCAGGATCAGTGGATATTCCATAAGTTTTTGGCTACCCTAAAGATATTTAGTTATGATAACTTTTAGTTTTTGTTATGATAATTGAGAAGGCGGGTGTTTAATTTTGAGTAGTGAGTTAAGCATCCCATGCTCTTTTACATTTGAGATTAGAAAAATAATAACTAATAGGTGAAGCTCGAGGTTTGTAGTTCAGAAACGTTTCTAGGTAGGAAGATGAGTTATTCTCCATTGCTTAACCCAGTGTTTGTTTTGAGGTTTTGTTTTTCTTTTTTTCAGTTGCAAATGGCTACACTACTACAAATGAAAGGTTCTCAGGCAGAATTTGAGCAGCTGGAACGCTTACAGTCAATGTTAGAACAAAAGAATGGTGAGATTGAAGATCTTCTCATGAAAGTGAGACAACTAGAAAAATTCAAGGTTTGTGGTCTGTAAGCAAGTAGAAAAGTCCTATAATGAAAGTCTAGACTATGGAGGGAAGATGAACTATGAAAGATCTAAAGGCCATATTCAACTCTGAAAAGTGATTCAAAGGTTACTCATAGCTTTATTTGACTACTAATTTTATATCTGGACAATATATACTTCTGAAGTGCAGAGAAGCAAAAAAATCTTTTAAAAATCTCCTTTTTCTCTCTGTCGCCTTTTTTCTTTCTCCCCCTTCCATGTTTTGGAAAAACAGTTTTATCTGTGTTTCTATGTCACACCTCCATATTTTACATAGCTATGTCTAGTGTTTCAGTTCAACTATTTGGTTTAAGTTTACTGAGCAAAGATATCTGATCTTAATTTAGAAAGAAATGAAAAATATGTATTTGCTACTTTTTCACTTTACTGTGTGTCTTTAGGCTTTATAAGTGATTTCTAGTGTCTCGGCTATATTAGAACTCTTGTATGCTTCTTTCCTTTCCGTGAAGGCATTTTGATTTTGCAGTTGAAGCACTATCTTTTTACCAGACAGAATTGCTTTATCATTTTTGTGAGGCACTTCTTTCAGCTCTGTTCAACCCCCTTTTGCAGCTTGGCAGCACCTTGAAATAGTTTAGAAAGTGAGAAATACAAATGAGAACACTTACATGCGCTACTGTAATGTTGCTGATGGTTGTATGTATATAGATGTAAGCCTTGCTTACAATCTGGCGTACTCACTGACTGGCTTGCTGTTTTCTTATTGCAGCTTTAGAATGTGAACTTGAGTTTATTAGCTTATGGCATCGGGATTATGCTCTGCAGGGTGGTGTACTCTATTCTTTGTTTAGCCAGTGGCATAAAGCTAGGTTTGACCCATTTTAATAAGCAATCAAGACAGCTTGATCAAGCAATCAAGACGACTTGACTGCTTGGTTGCTTCACCAGTTTTGTCATCTGTAAGCTTGACTAGCATTTTTTTTTGTCTCAAGGCCATAAATAAACAGTGTCAGGACAGGGAATGATCAATTCAAATAGCCGTCAAAAGTATCTGTGTTCAGTGAATGAAGTAAGGCTCTGGTACCTATGGGACAGCTTTAAATCTGAGTAGTGCTTGTTCCAAATATGTACTGATTTGGTGACCAGGATGTCACATACGGAACTGATATATTTTATAAGAAGTTCATTACATCTATGTGTTTTTACTATGAATCAAATTTATCAAGTTGATCAAGTTTTCTTAGACTAGAAGATTTCAGCAATAAAAGGCCATTCATTGACATAAGTGGTGTTCTTGACAGAAGCCCAAGTTGCATCATGTATCGTATTTGCTTTTACCTTGTGACTGAAGTCAAACTTACAAGTTTGTTCTATTGACCCTTGCAGGTAGCTTTTTTGGCAGTAGCACTCTTAAGTATGTTTCATTATTCTTTATGGAATATTATTAAATTTATTCCAGGACTATTGGAAACTTAAAACGCTGACAAACAGTAATTTTTTTGCCCAGGTCATAAGGAGTGCCTATGTTCGCATTAAAACTTCAACCTAGATGGAGCAGTAGTAACTGCTTTTTCCTCCTGAAGTGAAAATCTTTGCAGTTAGTGTAAGATTATCTGACTAAATCTATCCCAACCAACAAACTCTAATTCTGTGGGGTTTTTTAACTTTTTTTTTTTTTAATTATAGGCATACTTGTACTTTTGTTAACTCAACCAGTAGGAAAACTTGCCCGCAATTTGTAGCAGGGAAAGAAAGGAAGGGAGAAATAGCTATGCATCTGAAGTTATGCAGCCTCTTCCTTTTGACTAGTTAAGACATAACCACTTGAAAGGTCTGAAATGGAATTTATGCTGCAGGCCAGAAGGTCTGAAGCCTTATTTCTTTTTACCTAGGTTCTGGCCCCTCCTGATGCACGTGCATTTCTCATACAGCATCAACTAGCATTTTTCTCCAGCTGCTTTTTATCTTTTGTTTACCACAACAGCACACGAGTATAAGAGCGTAACTGGCCTGAACTAAAGAAGCACTTCAGTTCGTTGTTGAGCACTTAAAGCAGAATACCTCTAAGAATCAGCTAGTGTAACTGAAGCTCAAACATACTGCTTCCTCCCCCTTACCCACCCCCCACCAATATGGTTCGCCTAAATATTGGGGAGGACAATGCTTAATTCAGGCTTACTTGCTGTTGTACAGACAAGTATCTAGGCCCTCATTCAGTTCAAAATAATCTTAATGAAATTGTAATGTGAAATTGGTCTGGCTTTTGGAAGAAAACTCTTAAGAAATCTGCAGTTGTCTATCATCCAGTCAAACAAATTTCACTGGATAACAGCAATGTGTGCTGCTACAGAAGGTTCCAGGATCCAAACATTAGTCTTTCTCCCTCGGACTCCTGCACTGCAAACAAATGCTAACCTACAGAGAATTAGCTGTCTTGTGAGCTAATGGAAAGAGAAGAGAATAACATTGCAGAGAAATCTTTAAACTGACAGTGATGTTTCATGTGAAGTTTGTAGCTGTAGGAGTTGTCACTTCTGTGTCTTTGAATAGTTCTTTCTGAAATTAGCTACCTTTTGAGATTTCAGCTGCTGAAGTCCAGAAATAGAGGCTGAAGCAAATCCCCCGTAATTATGCTAAGTATTCTGCATTCTAAAGTAGAAAAAGAAAAAAAAGCAAGTCATCAACTCCAGAAGGTTTTTAAATAGAATTATAGAAGAATATCTTTTAGTGAATAAGAGAGAACTGTCAATTTCAGGGCTCTTTGACAGTAACCAACTAGTAAGTACTCGGAGCAACTTAGCTCTCCTGTATCTTTAAATGCTTCCGAAGAAGGCTTCTCTACAGAAATGGATGAAAATTTCACCTAAGGACTAAGCTAATATCCTTCAGAAATTTCGCTAGTTGTTGACAACTTAATACTACTTATTCCATCAGATCTTATATGAGAACACAGAAGAATCCAGAGCTAGTACTAGTTCAAGAGGAGGAGAATCTGAAGATGGTTACTATGCGGACTTGCTTCAAATGAAACTTGACAACTCAAAGTAAGTGCTTAGGGGTCTGGGGCCTATAAGCTGGTTGTAGTTAGAGTATCTTCTAGCTATTTTTTTTTCTCTTTCTTCTGTTAATGTTTATCTGTATGTAGTGCGTTGCATGAATATGCTCATTGTCTAGTGCTGTTGAATTAGCCTATGTTCATGACAGGAGCTCAGACGTGTGTTGATTGCCATTCTATTGTTGCAACAGAGGGTTGCTAAACTAACCTCTGTTATTGTTTCTTTTTAGAAATAACTTGTTAATACAGTGTTAGATATGAATGAGATAGTTGACAGTTGTCAATTTAAAAATTTTTTTTGTTGTTTTAATGTATAAGGGATCTTTATAACTTTTTTTAAAGTTTATAGGCTGTAAATATTTCTCTTCTCTGAAAAGAGCCTAAAATCTAGTAACACCTGAAAAATCTAGTAACACCTGAAATTTTTCATGAGGCTGTTTAGGTGAGATGTATTTTTTAGGGTAGTGAACTCCATATCTATTAATTCCATACCAGTTAGTGGCCTCAGGACTGTTTTTAAACCCTCAGATGAGATGGCATCCCCTCCTAGGAGGAAGTACTGATCTGCTGTGGGAATTCCTGATTTGTTGTTGCTATTGTTATGAGAACTGGCATGATCTGAGCATCTTCGGAGCAGTGAGGAATGATGATTCTGTGTTTATGGTGTGGAGATGAATGGCCTCTGAAACGGAGAAGGGCATACATGATTATGTTAGCACTCTGTGTATTTGTGATGGTCGTTTATAGTACCACCTTTGTTTAAAGCTTGTGCTGTCATTAATAGGAGTAGTTATGTAACTTACGCACAGGTTAAACTTAATGGTGTAAATTTGTAAGGTTGAGGAAAGTTCTCAAACGATTTATATGTGTGTATTTCCGGGTACAGCTTTGTTTTTAGCAAGTGTTAGGTCTCTAGTAACTTGCTGCTTCTGTCAGGTTCAAGTGGTAACTTTCACTATACTAGAAGACTGCTTCCAGCTATTGTTACTTTCTCTACTAGTGTATAAATATGTGAATTCCATATGAAGTAGTTGAATGTTGAGTTGACTTTGTACCTGCTGCCTGAAAACAATTGTCTGACTAGTGCATACGTGATTTTTCCCCCTTACACCCCTCCCCAGTAAGGAAACGGAAACCTTGAGAAACGAACTATCCTTGCAGAGGATGAAAGCTTTGTATGAGAGCCAAAGGGTTCTGGAAGTTGAAAGGAAACTCTTCACAAATGAGAGGCATTTGCAAGCTTGTCAGAGTGAGAATATGAACTTGCGAGTTATGCTGGATGAGCTAAAAATGAAGTATGAACCTGAAGGTAAATATTTCTTCTCTTTATGGAAGAAAGAATATATCTGCTCTTCTCAACCTCCCTGTTGAATGTCATTCATATCATGAAGACATTTGGTTAGTTCCAGGTATGAACTAATGTTTAAGTGGCTAGCTTTTGTATAATAATCCAAAAACTGATGAACTGAAGAAATAAAAACTTACATTACTCAAGGACCTTACTTCAATGTGTACGCTAACAGTAATTAGACTAAAGAGTAAAAAATGGCGTTCTGAGGCTTTAGAAAAAATAGATAGGTGTAGTGAAGTGGATGGGAACAACTCTTCAGGAGGTACTTTTTGTAATGGTAACAGTATCCACATCAATGAGAAATACTGACTTTTCTGTATATGGACTGGTGATGTGAGCTTTGTAATAAATACTAAAGGAAAAACTGACTAGGCTACCTTAATGTGAACTAAATTTTGACAACAGTGACCCACCTGAAAAACAGCTGACACCTGTGTATCTGTACACACAAAGGAGTTGTGGGGGAAGATGAATGGAGAAATAGATGAGTGCATTGGTTTTGGTACTTGTCCAAACCCAAAGGATTTACTAAAGGCTTCTTTTAAAATTTTAATGGTTGGAAGCTCATCTCAGCAGCCTCTAAAGTGGAAATAAAATAACTGAGAGTATATTCATGTTGTTCAGAACATGTACTTAAAAGTCTTGGTAAAACTTAAGGTAAAGGTGATGGGGAGGAGGAGTCCTTTTTCTTTTTGTTCTTTTTGTTTTTTTCCTTCTTTTTTCTGCCAACTTCTGTTGGTGTGCTTAGCTGCTGATAATGGACTGAAAATTGAAGAATGGGCATTCTTTAAGGGATATGCATTGGATATTAAGAACTGTTCCAAGATCTTTGGCAGTGTGAAATCTGTTCTTTATCAGCTTTAGTAGCTCATATGAACATGTTGGTGAACAACAGAATAACTCTAGTTTCGTTTGTGTACAAACAGTATATTCCTTTTTTTTAATTTATTTTCTTCTCTCCTTAGAGTTTCTTAAAGTTACTAAAGCTAAAAAGAAGAGGGAGAAGATTCCAGTGGACCCTACCTGTGAATACGTGGACAGCAAAAATACTTTAGCAAAAGAAACCGCTCTCGCTCAATTGTCAAGTAAGGAAGAAACAAAGATGAGTTCCAAGAACTTAGAGCAAAGTGACGCCTCTCCAAAAAAACATGTCCTTGAAGCACCACCAATAAATATAGCTCTTCAAGCGATGCACAAAGTAGTGGGAACTGAGAAAGAAAGAAAGAGAGTTAAAATCAGAGATGAGCATCATGACACCTGTACTTCACATGACAGAAATGGAAATAATTCTTTGACTTCGGCTGCCCCCAGGTCAGTGTCAGCTTCTGTGTATGTTCAAGGCAATCAGCAAAGACCTGCATCTCTTTTCTTTCGCTGCATGAACTATGCTATCCAACTCTTTATCTATTTCCTAAGTGTTGCATGCAGTGTAATTCCTCAGCTCCATCTGCCTACATTCAGCCTCTCAAAACCTTTTAGAAAGACTAAAATGATGGCTAATGAAAAGGACTCTTAAAGCTGTGTAATAGAATCTTTGAAATAATAATGTTGACATAATCGCTTTAAAATGTTTAAGGTATGCAGATAGCGTGATAGTTCACTCAGTTTGTTCTTGCTTCAAAAACAGGACTGTTTCCTTGGTCCATTCAAAGCTGCCGCACAACTGGGTTGCATATCCAAGTAACATGAATAGGTATCATGCTTCAGTTTCATACCTAATTCTAGCTCCTGCCAGCTTTCAAAGTTTAGCCTCAAGCCTAAAAAAAACTTAAATTTAAATAGTTCTTAATCTAAATTGAGTTAACAGAACTTGCATTTTATAAAATAACATTGAATTATGCTGTTAATTCATCTATGTTGACAGACAATTGACTTTCGTAATCTGGACGCATCATAATTTCTGAAGCTTAATTCTTAAATCAAGATCAAACTTTTCCCCTGGACTGAAAACTTAAGTCATTTTTTTGATAGATGGTAAAGTAACTTAGCATAGTAATTAGTTCTAACTTTTTTGGCTCGGTAAGAGGAATGATGCTTTTTTCCTGCTGGTGCTTTTGTCTTCTGTTCATATGCCTAATCTAAGTAATCTACGTTTTATTGGGTTTTTGAAAAAATCTGGGCTAGTGTTAGGTGGTTTGAGCTTGCAGCCTGCTACTGTCTGCCGCTAAAAACAAGAACACCTTCTCTTCCTTCCCATCCTTCCTCCTAGCTTTCTTTAGTGTCTAAGTTGTGATTCTGCATGCATCTGGTATCTGAGCACGTAATTATTTTAAACCATCCTTCAGGGAGGTAAGAATAGTTTGTTTGGCAAAAGTACAATGATGTTTTTAAACTTTTTCTAGTTTCACGAACCCTCCCCCGTTTGCATCATTCTTTGACTCTTCTGCTTTAGCTGTAACACTATGTTGATTTGAGGGTGGGGGAGGAGAGACTAGAATAGTTTAGGAAGCTGTAGTGCCTTAAAACCTAAACAGTCCTGGTTGAGAAAGCTGTATTCCTGTTTGCCTCACAATGAGGTTTCCATTCTTCCCCTTCAATGAGTATTTTGGCTGGTTGCTTACAGGGAGGGTTACTTAAGGTGTTCACAGCGTCAGCAGCTTTATATTCAACAGATTGCATGAAGTATCCAGTGAGGCTGCTGCAGTGTTCCAAAACAAGTAAATTAACAGTTCCTTTAGATGTTAAATCTGTAAGGTTTTTATGAAAACTGTTTTCTAGACATAACTGGTTATGAGATGAACTGAAGAAGCTTCATTAATAGAATCACTGACTAGTGATAGTATCATTCAGTGACATTCTTAAAAATAGTAGTGTAACTAGAGTTGAAACTTAAATGCTTTGATTAAAAAAAGAAATGTAAATTTCGATATTTGACATTCCAGAGGGCATGTTTGTCCCACAGCAGGCTATGACTTGGATTGAAACATAGAAGCAAAGAAAGCTCAAAGATCCCTTAAAGTGGTATGGTAAGATACAGTAGTTTCTGGCTGGGAAAGAATATGGTTATTTGAACAATTTTTCAGGTCTTGTCAATAATGAATACCTTTCAGGCCTGTTGATTGAATCTGGAATGGCAGCCAACTTCAAAGATGGTAAAATATCTATACACACGGAAACCTGTACGGTATATCCAAAATTAAGGGCACTCAGAAGTAATTGGATTGATACTTTGACTTTTGGATCAATTGTTTAAGGTTTGTTGGATGCTATTAACAGACTTAGTGCAACTGAACAGTACCATCTTCTGAAACGGTCTGGAAAGGGTGTTGTGGAAATAGCAATTTAAATAGCTATATCAAAGCATGCAGAGGCTATTATTGAGGAGGAAAGAGCAGGGAGGTCAAAAATGGGTGGTGAAAGTTGACAGGAGAGGTTGGATAGCATGATGATAGCGTTGAGTTCTGATATTCTGTACGCATGACGAGACGGATAGCACATAACCTGAGCGTGAAAAATGTAACTTCAGTTTGTCGTATTTCCTCTGGAGAGGAGTGTACAACGTCTGCCAAGAGGGAGTTGTTGGAAGCAGTTTGTGAACTGAAGAAGCAAACTATCAGAGAGGAGGCGATGACAGGAAGTTATTTCATGAAGCTGATGATTGGAAGCAGAGAATAAGATGCAAAAAGAAGACGAAGTAATAGCTCAGAGGGGAGTTCTAATCCTCCACATATATTCCTTTAGGGCATTTGAAATGGCAGTAAGAGCCTATAAAAGGCAAAACCAGCTAGTAGGTTCTGTTTGTATTTCTGATGGCATCAAGGAACTACTAAATCCCCAGTTAGTGATCTTTTCAAGTTAATGATGAGAACTTCCTTAACTCTAACCTGTTATGATTTCTTATCAGATAGGAAGTCACAATGAAATCTGAATATTTGAAAAGTTGGATTCTTAAAGGCTAAAAGAACCTGTGGACTGTTCTCTTTTTGGGTGTGGATAAACCCTACATAGTAATATAGCTAAATGCAAAGGCACAAAAGATACAGGCCAGTTGAGCAGGATTGTGGACTTTAAAATGGAAGGTTCTGAGGAGAATAAACCACTGGCATTTGCATGGTGGATAATTGTGAGTGATCTATTTTGTGCTCAACTACAGTGTGAGGCTACAGCTGAAAAGGCGAATGTGGTCATTGGGTGTTATTTTTGGCACTTGAGTGGTTTACTTGTGCAATAATTTCTCTAGTTCTGTTATTGCTAGTCCATGAAAGGTGGCAGTGAACAGAAGAGCTGTAAGTAACTGAATAAATTATAAACTTCATTCCTACCAAACGGTGCAGAAAGCTTTGTTTTTCTGGATTAGGATATGATGGAAAAATGGTAAGAGGTGGTCAGTATGTACTTCTATGGATGATAAATTTCTTTGCTTGATGAAGAGTCTTGCTTAATATAATTTAACAAAGGAAAGCTAAATAACTTCTGACTAACAATTAGTGGATGTACATCTATGTGCAGTGAGTACGTGTATATTTACAAATGCTTAAAGTAAAAGAAGTTTGGAATATGTTATCAGGTTATGGTAGATTTGTAATCATTGAAAATACAGTTGAGACTATTTAAATATTTTATTTTTTAAACTTCCTGCTGGTGTAATATAAGCAATACAAAGGTTATAGAATAGTGATATCTTCTGTTAGGCCAATTGGTCTATGAAAAGATATGCTTCTGCATTGAAATGCTGTTCTTTGCTTCTGAAACTGAAAGAGTAAGTTTCAGCTCTCCCTGCCCAGCTTAGTTTGCATTTATGTTTGAAGTTGTTTTCTTCAGTTTGATCTAAAGAAGCAATCACGTGCCCAAAGTTTATCTGCTCTGTTAGATTGGCTAGTGAAGTCAGATAACATATACATCATCTACCTTTTTTGGACTTCTTTCAAACAAGAACTCTTTTACAGAATGCCTGTGGCCATTTGACTGAGCAGGAAATCTAGATAACTAATACTGTTTGGTGTCTTAGGCATGGCTTTTGTTTTCAGGAAGTAAAGCCCCATCTTGATGAGACTAGTCAATCTTTCTGAATGGGTAGAAAGAACTGCTGTTATGCCTTCTTTATCAAGACCACAAAGTTGAAACTTGGTAGAATCATATCATAGTTCCACAAACATTTGAGTGGAAATGTTTGTTTAAATAGCCTCTGTTGTTGATTCTGGCCCATCAATTTCCCTCTGAGTGCTTTATGGACTGTGCCAATGCTGTAGGGGACATTACGTGAACTGGCTTTGTTTGGAGACTTACCAGGGTTTCAAAACTACCTGTGGCTTTTTTTAAACCTGGATTAGTGCCTTGCCTCTGTGCAGCCATGCAACAAAACAGAGTTGTTTTGGTAACAGTAATGAGGTACACTTAGAGGACAAGAGGGGAAAACGAGCAGAAAACAGAGGTATTGGCTTCTGAGGGGAAACAGGGCTGTCAAGAGAAGTTTATGAAGTGACTTCATGATTTTTTTTTTCTTGGTCAACAGTAGATTCACTTTGAAATTAAGACTACCTCTTCAGGGATAGCTGTCCTTCATGCGGTGGGTTTTTGAGAACATGTGCACCTTAACTTGCAACAAACTTTGAATTTATCAGCCCTTATTCACTTGGCTTGTGATTTTTATTTATTTATTTTTAATGAATCCAAAGTTGTTACGTTTGCAGTTAGTTTCTTATGGTATAAAATAGTCTCAAAAATTCTGAAGCTTCCTTATGGAAAAAAGGGTTGCCAAAGTTGAGTGAAAGAACCAAACTGTACAATAAAATTGAAAAATACAGAAATGTTTTCATGCAATCTGTCAAGAATTTCTAGGTTAAATTCCAAAATGAAAAATTCAAATGATGTTGAATGAGTGGTCAGCAAGGCAGTCCATATTAGAGCTGTAGGGCAGCATAAGCTGAGTAATGTTACTTTTTAATAATATTGCTTACTGAGGAACAAATGGCAGTTTAGCATCTTACAAGTAAACTGGGATTAGGATAGTAACATTCAGCTAGTTTATACTCTGATGCAAGTTTCAAAGAACTTACTTGCTCTATATTTTTCAGACAAAACTTATTTAAATACAGCGTTTCTTGGGTCAGAACCTTTTGATATTTCTCTAAAAATAAATAAATAGAGTGCTCAGTTGGTTTGTGGAGGCTGTAGGTATTCTCTACTGTGACAGACTGTCACTAGAGTGCTCAAAAGATGTGATAATGTAAAATGTTACTAACGGAAGGCTGTTAGGAAAAAAGAGGAAAGTGGCTGACTTTCAACTCTAAGACTTTATTTCATAACAAAATGTTTAGCTGTTCTCTTTGATAGAGCCTGTTAACTGAACTTGCTGTAATTCATCCCGTTTATTATATGTAGCAACCTGTGGACGTTATCTATTACACATTAGTGAAACATGTATTTTTTCAAAAATTTGATTCAGCATGGTAATGAAAGTATGGTTCAACCACTTGCAGGCAGCAGAACAGCCAGCGTTGGAACCATTTGCAGACCAACTCTAAGATGCTAAGAATGAAAAGTCTGGAGCTTGGCATGCATTGCTGGCATTCATTTGCTTCAACTGTAGACAGAAGCCTTATCTTTGCTACCTTAAAGCTCAGAGGTTGTTTGCGTCTTCAGGGATTTCTGAATATCCCAGTATATGTTACCTTAAACTAAGGTTTTTGTAAGTGGAAGCAAACCATGCCAATGTATTGTTGATCCAGATAACAGATGTAACCAACCTAAAAAGGTGGGGAAGGGAAGCTGATGAATATGAAATAGCTCATTCATTGCATTTTCACAAGTCTGTCTCCTAACTTTTTAAGTATTTATTAACATAGTTCTATTCTGAGGAAATTACATTACTGGATGTTGACTTGTATACACATTTTGCTGTGCATCAGTAGTCAATAAGATAAATTTTTTCTTTCCTGTTGAAATAATAACAACTAATTCTAATAGCTGTTGCCTTTCATTTTATAAAAGTGTGGTGTTTTTGACATGAGTTTGTTTTCTAGAGGTAGCACACTTCTCATTAACACAGCATTGACTGCATTAACACCTATGACTGCAAAATGGCAGTATTTTGAATAAACCAGTTATGCTGTTTTGGAACTTGTTTAAACGTAATTAGATTTCATTTGGCCTTTTGATTTGTGTTTGAGGTTTTGCTTTTTCTGATTTTTGACTTTGTAGGGACTTCTTGCTGGAAATATTAACCCCTAACCTAATGTTTAGGGGGAGGAGGGGGTGTGCTTGTTTAAGGTAGAAGAAAGGCAGGACAAAGGAAAAGAACTTAATATGGAAACGGATGCTTAAGCACAAGCTCTCTTTTCCTAGTTATAGCTGTAATGGAAGTTGTAGATTAAAAACTTATGAGAAGATTAGTCAGAACGTCCTTTTTTCCCTTCTTCCCTAAATTGGTGGTTGTTCTTGTCATCATGTAATTGTTTGACTACTTAGAAGCTGCAGCACACCTAAAATGGGGTGACAGCTGACCAGAAAGCAAAAGAGAAAATTGTTAGCCATCAAAATGGCAGGGGTTTAGGAACAGAAGAGATACTTGGGTAAGCATGTCTTAATGGGGCGATGGACTTCTCACAAAGTGAGAGTAGAGCAAACATTGCTCACCTAGGGAGAAATGCACAGTTCTTCAATCTACTGAGACAGTGCTTGCAGGAAAAAAGTATGTAGAGAAAAGGTATGCTGCATACTTAAAATGGATAAGAAGGCTTTATTTGGTATATTTGTGTCTAAAGATAGACTTGGGAGTGAGAATTGGGAGGGTGGGAAGCATCTGTAGCAAGGTTTCCTAAAACTTGTCATTGTTACAGCTCCTTTCACAGTACTCATCTTCTGCCATATGTCCAGAATATTACAGTTAATTTAATCTAACAATTTCAACAGCTGTTCTTGTTTGAAAAAGCACTATTGAAAGCAGCTGTGATTGTTGTAGGTTTATTTATAATCAGTAGAGATTCTTGAGACCACTAGAAGCCCACACAGTTATTAGGGAATTGCTTTAAAAGATAAGTGACAGTTAGCATATAACTTGCATTGTTATGTAAAGAGATGTTTAAGAACTTCATTTGCCATAATCTGTTTTGCTGTGGAAACTATCATGTGTAACAGTTAATTGGTTGTGACTGATTTGGTTGAGTAGATATCACTAGTTAGCAAATTGTTTTAATGAGTCATGCTCATTAAATAATTCTTAAATAATTTGTACATCTAGTTGAGCTCAGATGTCTAAATCTCGTTTTTAAGTTACCTCTTCAACAGCAATATAGTAGTTAACGTTGTATTCTTGTTTACATCCATAATCATTAAAACATGACACTGGAAAAATGATGGAACTTAGAGCCTGAAGAAGTGGGAAGAAACTTACTATGTTTTTAGATGTTCAGAAATTAAGATAAGGGTGATAGTAACACAGGACCTGGTTAGAAATAGCATATTGCTTTGTTTGGTCCCCCTTCCACCCCTCGCCATTGTTAATACAAAATGTTCAACTTTATCTCTTTTGTATTGTGTTGCTGGGACCTCTTTTCACTTAAGAGTTGTGCTTTCATGTGACTTCCTCTTTTACATCCATGGCATCATAGGTGTTTTTTCTTTTTAAAGGCTAATAACAACCAGTTATCACTGCAGCAGATAAGCCTTTAAACAAAAATACTTTAAAAGTGATGAAATGTAGGGGAGAGTGATAAAAATAAATGCTTTACTTTGGTCTCATTTTATTCTTAAAAGATACTTGCTTCATCTTCATGTATGGCTGAACCCTGTATTCTAGTTGGCTTGTTGATTTTGCTTAAAGCTTTGTTTTAGCACTGGTTTTTATTAACTAAATATATATTTAGAATGGTTGCTTTGCCTGTAGGTTAACAGCTGAATCCAGATCTGAAACTACAGAAAATGAAGAGAAGAAGGAAAATGTAATCACAACTGAGAAGAAAGCACAAAAGAAAAAATATACTACATTATATGTATCTTCTAAGCCAACTCCTGAAACACAGTGTGCTCAGCAATAAAGCTTGTATTTCTAGAAGGAACCTTAGTAATTTGGAGTTTTGCTTCAGCAAGAATTACTGAGTAAACTTGTGTTGCACAAATATACACAGGTTCCTAACTTAAATGTCTGTCTGCCTTGTTTTGTGAGGAGTATGACCGCACTTCCAGTGTCTTAACTTCTGAGAGGTCACCTATTAAATTCCCTGGCAATATGACCTGCAGTGTTGCCTTGTCTTCCATTTTGGATAAAACTCTGAATACTTGTTAGGCATTATTTCTGTGATGCATAGTACTATTCTGAATGATAAGAACTTGCTGTGGAAGTTTTCGTATGTAATAAAATGGGTCCACTCTGAGCAATGCTGATGCAGAACTAAGTCATATGTAATTGCTCCTGAATTTCTTCCAGTTCCTAACTTCCTACCTTTTTCCCCTAATGTGTAATTGTTCAACTCTCAGACTGACTTGATTGTGAAGGTATGTGTGAATTTTTTAGTGCATTTTGTGGGATAGTACTTTTTTTTGAAACTCTAAGTCCTTGTATTTATCCTAGTAATTAAAATAAAGCTTTCTTTTTATTTCTTTCTAAAATGACAGTCAATATTGCATTTGATACAAAGCATCATTTTTCTAAAGGTGTCAATTTTTTTGAGTGACAGGTGTTTTATGGAAAGGATTTTGTGTAAGTACTGCCCAATAAAAGCTAAATTGTTTGTAATGCACATGTGTGTCTTATTCTTGGGAGCTTTCTGTAATTTTCTGATAATATTTACTTAGAATAATTCTGAAGAGTATTCAAGCTAGTTCTACTGACTTTCAGTGTTTCTGTGTGAACTCAAGGTTTTTTCGTTTGTTTTGTTTGTTTTTATACTGTATTTAGTTTATACTAAATACAGTTACAGTTTATTTATACTGTATTTAGTTTAGCACCCTCTAGTGAATGGCTTAGCCATTTTCCAAACAAAAAATACAGCAGTCAAGGTGACAGAAATTCTTCAGGATTTTTCCTTTTAAATTCATTATGAAAAAGATCTCTCGAGAAAAATCTTATTCCTGACCCAGATATTTTAGATTTAATGACTTGCCCTGCTGTACGTTAACTACCATCTGTAATTCTGAACCTGAGACTCGTAATCTGCTTTCTGTACCTAAACAGAGGCAACTTCAAGCTTATTCTAGAAGCGGCTAGTTAGGACCAGGACATAGTGGGGAATAATAAAAGTAAACATGCTATGTAAGGAAGTTCTTACTATATTCAAGCTTTGGTCAAATCATTGTTTCATTTGGTAGTTTCTGCTATGGCAGTGATGCTGACTGAAATTTCCTCCCTTTTAATAAGAACTCTTCTAGACTATGTGAAAATGTATCTTGTATAATGTCTTGGGTTAGACCATCTTTGGTCAAAATATGATCGATTTATTTATTTACAGTTTTTTTTTTTTTTTTTAAGCATGATGATCTCTTGCTTTATAGGTACCTGTAAATTTTGTAGGTAACTTTTGGACAAACTGCTAAATGAAAGTGCCTTTATGGGTTTTGTTGAATGGACTTGTCTAAAGACAACTGCAGGTATGGATAGACTTGGAAATATTTATTTGAATTTGACGTGGTTCTTGAGCAGAGTTGATGCCTAATTTTTGTTAACTATGACTCTGCAAGTTGGTAGCTTTCGGTCACATCAGTCGCAAGTTGTTTTGGACATGAAGATTATATTCCTCTCCACAACAAATAATTAGCTATGATAGTCTTAGTACAAACAGAAATGACTGCAGATGTGGTAAAATAAACTTAATGAGGAGATCTGGCTTGTCATTTTCCAATACAGAGTTAACTTGATATGATCAGTGCATTTCTCCATGGTTAAATTTATGCACCGCCCTAGTGGCTGTTACTGTTGAACAAAATAATCATACAATCAGTGTATCATACAATTAGAGTCTATGCTCGGAAGTAGACTTTGACAACTTAAGAGATGTAATATTTATCCAAATCCTTCAGTCTCTTATTAGCTAAGTCTAAATAAACTTAATTCTTGTTAAGTTTTTGTTCATATATTCCATGCTATTATAGGAAGTTAACATATAGCTCTAAAACAGTTCTTCTACATGACATTCGCCTCGTGTGTCCTGCATTGAAGAAATCATACTTTTCATGGAACAAAATGTTAGCAAAACTCTTGGTTCTGCAACTGGCAAAAAAGATTTCATTTACTGTCACTGTACACTGAAACGCACATAGCATGGAATAATAACTACATAACTTTTAATTGGGATAACTTAGTTGATACTGAATGCACATGCCTTTAAACAGACATAATGAACTGTTATGTAGATTGTCAACTAAGACAGTTAACTGTATGTTGAGCTGTTTTGCATGTGAAATTTCTAAATGAGTTTTTAAACTGAAATAACGATGATAGCCTTAGTTAATGCTACAGATAAAATAACTGCATCATTTCAACAAATTAATAAAACTGCTTAAGGTTATCTAGTTAACCCCACAAAACTAACACTTTTTGACCTGTAATGTTTTGGGGTTTTTTGAGCATGCAGTTTGTCATCATAGATAATATATGCATGCTTACACATCTTTTGCAGAGTTACAGCTAGCAAGTGGGGGAAGGTGTCTGGAGTTGAAGCTTTTGTTGCTGTGACGTTTTTAAGGTATTGTCCTTTATAAAATGTATGGAAACGCTTTTCCATTTTCTTTTTTACTTGTGCGTTGTCACATCAGTTGCTTTACTGCAACTATGCTCAGATCTTGGAATATAGAAGACTTTACAGCAAGTCAAATGCAACTGCTACTTATTTCTGTTTAATTTTTTTCTATATAACAGAAAGAAGCATAGCAAAAAATATCAAAGTAGTACGGAATCAGCATTTTGCAAGATCTTGTTTTCTAGAATTGATAGCAGTATTAAAGGAAGTAAGAATTCTCTCCCTTCCTTCCTCTATCTGGGTCCCAGCTATCCCCCAAGTAAGCTCTACCTGTGTGTTCCCTAGGTAGAAGGATTTTTATCTTTTGGGGAAGTAAGAAATTTTCTACTTGCCTGTGGAAGACACTCTTCTGCCTGGAAAAAGAAGACTTAAGGAGAAGACAACACATGAGGTACATGAGGGCAAAGAATGATTTATCTGGCCACTAGTTTCTTTATTAGTGATGAAATATGACATAGTAATTACACAAAAGAAGGCAAATATTTAGAACAAAAGTCTTCCCTGACAAAGGGCTTACTTATCTTCTGCTTTAATTCTCTAGACCGTTGTTGGGGTATGTCCTCAGCTGTAGTAACACAGGATTTTAGGGCTACCTTGCCTGCTTAATTCTTTGGAGGGATTTGGATGTTTTTCTCAAATCCCTGATGAAGCAGGGTTTTAATCTTGTTTCTGTTGCTCAATCTGTTTGTTAAAAATTCTAGCTAGGACTCTTTCAGAGAAGGTCAGATGAGGAGAGTGTCTTAGTCAACTTCCATTCCTAATGGAAAAATGGCAGTAGGTGCCAGTAGATGATGAGATGTGAGAAAGCTTTATTGTGAAAACATGGGAGAAGGAAGCAGAGCAGATGCATGTAAGGATGAGAATTGGGTGTGGGGGGAAGGGATCCAGATGGGAAGCAGCAAGGACTTAAGAGGCTTGAGTCAGAGGGCTCAGGATCAGGGCGTTTTTGGTCAGTTGGGATGGTAAGAGTGGACAAGAGCTCTGATCAGCTGAGGGCAGAACTGCAAGCTGTGCAGTGATATTTGGATGCCTTGTAGTCTTGCAGGATCAGATCTCTAAGACAGAAGAGACTCAGCAGATCACAAGAGTACTTTTAATTGGATCCTAGTTTGGAGGTGACACTTTTTTATCACTTCTTTTCAAAATATAGTAATCTTTTAATCAATTTTACTAGTTTCAATGAGTCTCACTTTGCTAACAGGAAGCTGCCTGGTCTGTAAATGATGGTTACTTAAAAAAAAAATTATTAGACCTACTTGATCAGCCTTGCTTTAAAGTGAAAGGAACAATTTTTGTCAAGGCCTTTGTATTATAGGGGAGCATACCAAGGAAGAGCAGTGCAGAAGAAATTAAATGCAAGTCTTGGTCTTCAGGCCAAACAGGGTGTGTGGGAAGGGGTGAATTGCTGCAGCAGGGATTCAGAGGAGTATGAAAAAGTCATCACTGATTAGGAAGTTGTCCATCAAAATGCATGGTAAACGAAAACATAAATTGATTCGGTCCCCAAATCCATATTTGGGAGATAAATAGTGTAAATTAGATATTCAGTGGAAAAGAAGGATTTAGGACTCCATAGATGAAGCTGATTGTTGATGGAGATAATCTGAGTTGCTCAGAATCTAGCACACTTAAGATTTGTATTTTTTCCTTATTTAAATGCTATTTTATGAGGGAAAAATAACCCAGGGAAGCACTAGCTAAATCCTTTTCCTAAATATCTCTGTGTGCTTGAGAGTGTGGCATTTTGTTTCTTCGAGAAATAAGTGTTAGATTTACAACAAGGTAAAGTTAAGACAGTCTGTGCTTCTCACGACTGTAGGATAAAACCACAAAGTGACATGTCACGTGTTACCAACGAATATCCTGACTGATATAGCAAAGGACTCTGTTAGACAGTTTTGATAAACAATGATTGTTAGTTTGCAATGTAATACCCAGAGGACAGGATTGTTGTACGAATTTGTTATGGGGAAGAGGGGGATGAAACAAAGCAACAGTAACTCTTGTCAAGCGTTTTCTGCTTTTTATTTCCAAACTAGACATACAGACATGAGTGAAGGTGACTTCATTTGTCTTCAATTTAGTATGCTGCCCTTAATCCAAACTAGGAATGCCTTGGCTAGATCTTTGCACACCGAAAATTTCAGTGCATACTTTCACACAGTAACCTGTGTGAAAGTGAAGGCTGTAAATGTGTAATGAATCAGGTTTTGAAGTTTTGTCTTGACAATGGTTCTTTTAAAAGTGCTGTTTTGTTTAGAAAATAAGGGGAAAATCCCCTAATTAATCCTCCTAATTTAAAATGAGAGAGTAGCATTTCAAACCACACCCATTCCTTTTTGTGGCTCTGTCTTCATTTCATTTGTCATACAAGGGGAAGTATGTTATGAAAAACAAATCTCCATTGCAGGACAGGTTAAAATAAAGCAGTGCTTCAGATGGTAGTGTCTTGTAGAGTCAGATCGTTAAAATCTGTTTTTTATGTAGTTCAAGAAATGAAGACCCCTTCTACGTTTTGAAACTGAAGTAACCATTCCATGTTGAACTTCAGTAACTGGAGCTGGGCTTTGCACACAGTAGCCTTCCAACTTAGATCACAGTTAGGGGTGGTGCAATGGCGGGGGGGGCGGGGGGGGGGGGGGGGGTAGGTGTTGGCTCCCTTTTGCCTGTTCATATGTTACTGCCTGTATCATGTAACCGAAACACCCAGTCTGGGTTTCCCCTCCCCCACAGAAGGCATGATACTTGGTACAAGTATCTTGAGAAAAGAGGAAGGAAGCTCAGTGTTCTCGGCAGCAAATCTCACAGAGCCTTAGCAGCTGCCTCGGCCATCTCAGTCTCCTCCTAGTCATCACTGGCAGTAGCTGGGAAACAGATCTTGCTTCCAGCTCCTTTGTTTGCTGCCCATCTTGAAGTCTGTGCCCTATAAATCTTGGTTTCTTGGTGGTGGGCATCCTTTGGAGCCTCACGAACTCACGT